CAGGCTGAGGCTGAGGCTGAGGCAGGATGAGGCTGAGGCCGAGGCAGGCTGAGGCTGAGGCTGAGGCAAGCCGAGGCAGGCTGAGGCTGAAGGTGAAACTGAGGCAGGCGTAGGCATCCGTAGGAATCCGTAGGAATCCATAGGAATCCTTAGGAATCCTCAGGAGTCCGCCGGCATCCTTAGGAATCCGTAGGCATAGTTAAACATCCTCAGGAATCCTTAGGATTTTATTGGATCCTAAGGCCGTTGCCGCTGCGACGGTCATTGCGAATGCGACTGCGACTGCGAGAACAGCAGAATTCTACAACTGGATTCTCACCTGAATCTTAAGGGGGATACTTCCAGATATGCTTATACACATCGCTGTTAGGCTGCTTTGCTGGGATAATTCTTAATTCTTCGAGGCAGTCACAGTGATCGACTACATGCCAAGTGGCGTGGGAGTGGCGCAGGTCTGGAGCAGTCTGTGGCGTCGTGTGGGTCCTCGATGAGGTCATCTGGGAATATTTGGTCATTGTTGGGTTTCCCGGCGGGGCCATCATGGCCCTGGTGGTCCGTGACGCCGCATTTGTTCCGTGTGGTTGGGTCGGGTGGGCTGGTGTTAGTCGGCCATGGCGCGTCCGCAGCGTGTGACCTCTCGACTGGTGAGTCGGGCGCACTTGTGCTGGACTCGGGTTGGCCCGCGGCCTGTGTGGCCTGCCGAAAGGCGTCGACGATGTTCATGCTTCGTCGCCCCGCCACGTGGTCGGTGATGTCGTATGGCTGGGCACGCGGCCGCTCGTTGTGGTCGCTGTTGGGAGCGGTATAATTCGGCCGCTGGGTGAGTTGGTGGAGACGGTCGCCGTCGTTGGTGCACATGCAGTGGTGATGTTGAGCGTTACGGGCGGGGCGCGGTGACCTGGTGTGTTCCACTGTGGCCACGTGCTGTGATCGTCGTCCGTCGTGGTCCTAGTGGGCCCTCGTCCTCACTGATGGTCGCAGATGTTGCAGAAGTCCACGGCGTTGGAGCAGGAATCGCGGCGGGTCCTTGTAGCCTGGTGGCTCGAGGATCCAGGGGGGTCGTTGCCTTTGGGTTTCGTCTGAGCATGTTCGGGTGGAGGGCCCAGGGTGAAATCCTTTGCCCCCCGCCCGAAGAAAATGCTCAGTTGGTGGCGTCGTCGAACATGACAAGGTCGCCCACCCCCTGTGGAGCAGATGGGGTCGCGTTGGCAGTCGGTCCTCCTTCCTTGTTCGTGGAGGTTGGCGACGCGCCCAACGAAGCTGGCTGGGCGCTGGCGCGCTCCGCTCACGTGGAGGCCCCGCTTTGGCTCCTCTGGCGGCGGCGTGCTGGGCGGCCTTTTTGTTTCTGGTTGGGGGGCGGCGTCAGCAGTGCTTGGAGGCGCGTCCTGGTGGCCGCCCTGCCTTGGAGAGGCGGCGTGGCAGCGGCGCCGGGGCGGCCTGGTGGCGACCCCTGCGTGGGGGGCTCAGCCTCTGGTGAGTCAATATTTGCCGTTGGTGTCTTTGGTGGTTCCGTCTGGGCGATGGCTTCCGCCTGCGCGATGGTCCTTGGGATGATTGATCCTTGCGCGTGCATTGCGGTGTTGGGCGGGCCCGATGCCGCTGCGACGATGGCAAAGTTGCCCCGTGCAGTTTTGCCCCACCTTGCGCGTTGGACTGCGCGGCGCCGGGATGCAAGGACCTTGGCAATCTGAGTCCTTGTTGCACTTCGGGGATCGATGCCTGTGGTGCGGTGTTTGACGTTGGCCAGTGCTGCGTCGGTTCCCCGACGTTCCTTGGCCGCGGCTTCGGCAGCGTCCGTGTTCAGGTTGACTCGGATGCCGACTTGTTTGTCAGCACGGACGGGTCCGAAGGCGTTAAGTTTTTGAGATGTCTGGTGGCTCTCGTGCAGCGTGTCTTGGTAGTTGTTTTTGTGCCTTGCGGTAATATACTCGCTTGGTCCAGGTCTTGTCAATCCGTAGATGACATCAAACTGGCTGCCTCCTTGCCCCGAGGCGGCCAGGGCCATCGGGACGTCGGCCCGCCCGATGGCGAATGTCCCCGTGAGTTTCCGCGTGCTTGCCAAGGAGCCGCGGCGTCCCAGCAGCGCCATGGGTTCCGGGATGGGGACCGCGATGAAGTGTGAGGTGAAGATGTCTATGAAGGCGTCGGTGAGGTCGTCATGTATTTGTTTGCGCGCGTGGTCACGCCTGACTGCCTCGTGACGCTCCTTGGCCCCAGGTTGGGCCGTGCCTGTTCCTTGTGGTTGCCGCGTGCCGTTGATTGGCACAGCTCCTGAGAACTGTGATGTGGGAAGCTCTTGGAGGGTGGGCGCAGCAGCGATGGCATCCGTTTCACCGACACCGCCGAGGATCCAGATCGTTTTGTCTGCAAGGTCCAGTGCGACTTGCATCGCGGCCTGGAGACATTTTGACTTCAGTGCAGCCCTGTTGACACGCCGTTCCCTGGATGTGGCCCGGCGTGGAATTGGTAGCCCGTGCGGTCCGGTCCTACGGAGAACGTGGATGAGGATTTCTTTGCCTGGGTGGTCGCTATTGACGGGGCCCTGGAGGCGGTTTCCTTCCTCCAGCGTGGGTCGTGACATGTTGCTGAGGTATGATGTTCAGGAGAGAAAGAAACACAGACACAACTAATCGTCGATTCCCCAGAAATATACGAAAAAAATTGGAAGTGGGGGGGGGGGGGGGCGAAGATCCAAAACACATGGAACCAATATGGTGAATCCTGGGATTTGCGTGTATTCATTTGTGTGTCCTCGGGCCCCTTCAGCAATGGCGATGGGCGCGTGCCAGTTGTCTGCGTCGAGGCTGAGGAGCTGGGCGATGCCGATGCCCCGGCGGGCATCGGCCGAGGGCGCGAGGTCCGGGTGAGGCACGGCCGGCAGCCCGCTCCGTGCGGCAGGGAGCCTCCTCCTCCCCCTCCTCCTCCGCCTCCCCCTCCTCCTCCCCCTCCGCCTCAACTTTGAAGATGGGGGGGTGGCGCTCGCCTGGCCCGTCGGCCTGCGGCAGGCTGGAAACCCTCCACTACTTTGAGTTCCTCGGGTATTGTGGTGTCGGATCCCCTGCCCCTGGTCCGCGGTCAGGGTGAAATCTTTTCTGGTCCGTGGCAGGCGTCTAGCCAGCCTCAGCCTCAGAGCCGCGCCAAACTCCCGGAGCCCCTGCCCCTCATGTCTGTTGATTTTGTTCGAGGTGTCTCCAGGAAGTATTCCCTCAGGACCGCTCGTGGGCTGGATGGTTTTCATATGAGGCATTACAGCTGGATGAGCGACGACTGCTTGCAGGTTGTCTGTCTCATCGTCTGTGCCATGGAAATGATATCAAACCTTCCAGCTCAACTACAAGTGGTGCAGCTCGCGCTGCTGATGAAGGCTTCGGGAGGCTGGAGGCCGATCTGCCTATTCTGTTCGCTCTGCCGCTTGTGGGGCAGGTGCCGCCGATGCTTCGCGTTGGAGTGGGAGCTCAACCACCAGCGGAGTTTCTATGCTGGCCAGGCTTTTGCTTCAGCAAACGATGTGGTTTGGAGACGGAGTTTCATGGGGGAGGCTGGGATAGCTCAAGGTCAGGTGTCGGAAACATTGCTGTGGGATATCTCGAAGCTCTACGAAGCAATTTGCCTGGCCCACCTAGAGCAGCACTGCGAGATGTTTGGTTTTCCCGCCCCCCTTTCCAGACTGGCCTTATCTGCGTATCGTTCGGCTCGCTTTGTGTGCTTAGCGGGCTTCGCCACTGGGCCATTCTACGCCCTGAACGGGGTGATTGCAGGGTGCAGCTTTGCCACGTCTTTCGTGAAGGTTTATACCCTGGAGGCTTTCACCAACCTGCGGCTCCCTGAAGGCGTTCACCTCGATCAGTATATCGATGACAGCGGAGTTTCTGCAGTAGGTACTGTATCTCAGGTTATCGGTGGCCTGAAGGATGCCAGTTTCCAGTTTTGCCCGCTATCGGGAACGACTGCGGCTGCGAGATTTCCAGTGAAAAAGGCGGCTCTTGTGAGCTCCAGCAAAGAGGTGGTCATGGCCGTGCGTAAGTACCTAGGTCCCCTGGCTGGCCCCATTACCAACAGCGCTGTGAATCTGGGGGTTGACGACGTTGGAGGTCGACCTCGGCGTGCTGCTAGGCGTGGGGCCAAGTTCAGATTTAGGATCGACTACCTGAAGAAATGCACCAAAAAGCTTTCGCGTATGCGGTTTAGTCTTGGGAAATTTACCCAGCTCATCTGGATATTTGGGGCCCTCCCTAGGGGTGCTGTATGGTTCGGAATTATCAGGTTGTCCGATTTCGAACGTCTGAAGGTCAGACGTGAAACTGGTAAGGTGTTACGCCCTGGGGCTGGGTGGCGTTCCTTAGCGGCAGCGATGCTTGTGCATTATGATCCTGTATGGCTCGGCGCTACTGCTCCCATCCTGCGTTGCGCCAAGGAGGTTTGGGCAGCACAGACTCGTTTTTACCCATATGCGCTAAGCTGGTCCAGTTGCTTGAGGGCTGAGAGGTGGTGTTTGTCCGCCCAGAGCCGTTTTGGCGTGAGGTCTCAGGTGCGATTTCCGCGCTGCGGCTTTCCCTGAATATGATCAACTGGAGCATGAGCGGTCCCTTCACTTGCGTCAACGGCTTCGGGGAACCGCTGCAGCTCACGGTTGTTCCGCCTGCGATGCTTAAAAAGATGTTGCCGCCGCCTCACTTAGGAGCCTTGAGCGCGAAGCTGCCCGCAAAACTGGTATTCCTGAGCCGAGGCTGTGCTACGACGTGGTTCGCAACCGCTTGAGGTCATCGAAGAACACCGACAAAGAAAAAGGGTCCATCCGCAGTTTGGTTTATGAGGCTCTCTGGACGTACGACAGAGCCGAGAAGGCGGGCTACAAGGTCTCCAATTTCTGTGCTCTCTGTAGGAAATCCTGGGATTTGTGTCTATCAGTTTGTGTGTCCCTGGGCCCATTCATAGTTGCAAATCGGGGATGGGCGGACAGGGGGTCAGTCGCACTGACCGTCGCGGCGCGAGCGCCCGAGGCACTCTGCCCTTCGTGTTCTTCCTCCCTGTCGGCGTCGCCTCGCTGATGCCCATCGGGAGGATTGGGGCGTTGATGCAAGCAAGGCGACGAGGGGAGCGGAGGAGGGAGAGGGACGGATGTGGAGAGCGACGGTGAGCGCCGGCAGGAGGAGGGCGAGGAGAGGGAGGAAGGAGCGAGGAGGGATGATGAGGATTGGCAGGAGGAGAGGAAACGGGAGGACTGGGAGGCAGGGGGGGGACAGGAGGGATAGGGGAGGATGAGAAAGAGAGAGAGAGAGAGAGAGAGAGAGAGAGAAAGAGGAAAACAGCAGGAGGGATGAAGAGGGAGGAGGGAGGCTGAGGAGCGATGGGGGGCAGGAAGGCAACATAGCGGGAGGAGGATGAGGCAGGTGAGGTGGGGCAGTAGCTGTAAGAACCCAGGGGCCTCCGAGGCTTCGGTGATCTTCAAAAACCTCCAGAGGCCCCCACTGATCCAGGCTGCCCGAGCGGGGCTGACGCGGATGGCATCAGAGGATCGCGCCGCATCGGCGATGTGGCGCGATCCTCCGACCCCATCTACTAAGGCTCCACGCGGGTATCTGAGGGCTGTCCAGATCTCCAGGAGTTGGGTCCCCGGGGTTCTCCTGGTGTCTCCAGGGGTCTCGGGGCTTCCAGGGGCTTCCAGGGGCCCCGGATTCAATTCAAGAGGATGACTCTTCGGGGGGGGGGGGGCGCGTTTGGCCCTGAGGGCCAGATACGTCCCCCCCGAAAAGTCATCATGTTCGAATCTCGTTTCAAAATTTCTCAAGCCTACTCTTAAGTCGGGCCTGTCCCCCTACAGAAGGAATATTCGTAAATTGTCAAAACATCGGAAAACGACTGACTGATTTGATTGTTTTTGAATAAGACCAGAATGTGCACACAGGCGTTGGGCGTTTTTGGATGGAGCTCGATGGTCACGGTGATTTGGGGCGTCGTTAACCCCCTTCCCAGGTCACCCGGCTCCGTGCATCGCACCCCGTGATGTGCGACGCCCAGTCGACTCCGCGACCTCGCGCCCCCGCGCCGCACCCGCCCCCCCCCTTTTCCGAAGAGTGGCAGCCGCGCAGGCCCTGGCCGCGACCCGCGAGGCGCGAGCATCTGCGCGCCCCCAGGGGTGACCCAGCTCTCTGAGACCTCGGAAGGCCCCAGCGGCCCGGAGGCCCTGCAGGCTGGAGGCCCTGGAGGACTGCACAAGAATAGTGAAACAATTGACTACTTCTGATTTTTCGTTTAACATCCCCCTGAAGGAGGACATGCCCGACCTAACTCTGGTCCCATCTGAGCGACCTCCAGCCCCGAGGATGTGCGCGCTGCACCCGTCCCTGGCCTGCGTGAAGCGCGCGGTGAGGCTGCTGATTCTTTGGGGCGGCGCCGCGTCCGCTGGCCTCTGAGACGTGAACCCTCGGGATTGTCGAGGATCGAAGAGGGGATCTGGGACTGTGGCATGTCGGAGTGTGTTTAATCCTTTTCATCCTCCTTTCCATCCCGCTCATCCGCCACCTGCCCCTCCCCCTCCTCCTCATACTATGGACGCAGCTCCCATGTTTCGATTACGACGATGTGGATGTTCTGGCAGTTCCGGGTCCGCTATGACACGCGGTCGCGGATAGAGAAAAAAACACAGCGCAAGTGCAAGGGGTTGGATGAATGGGTAGGACGTCAGATACGACGCGATCGCACCGAGCTCGTCCTCGCCCCTCTCCTCGTTCATCTCCTCGTCCCTTCCTTCCTCCCTCTCCTCCCTCCCTCCCTCCGTCCTCCTGCAGGGGCACGAGTTGGGAGGCTGGCCGACCTCACTGGAGATGCGGAGCTCTTGGCCGTCTGCAGCAGGCCGACATCGGTTTTCGGTTTTGCGACGTGTCGGCGCCGGGGCTGGCTCCGATCTGGCCCCCCGCATGGAGGCTCGGCTGCGGCACGGGCGCCCCGGTACGCCGCCCGAGCTGTCGAAGATGTCGCAGCATCGCCAGCGCCGAGGGCAACCCTGATTTGCCACGTTGTGTCGTATTCCGCACAGGTGCACATCGACGTGCTCTTCTTCATCCCTCGCCCTTCAATCTTGCTTCGTTGCCCGCGAGCCCTAAAGCAGGCGCGTCAGGCGGGCTGCATGTGCCCGTGGTCATGCTGTTTGGGCGGGCACGGGCGACTTGGCTCTTCGGACCGACGCTACACCTCACACGAGCTGATTGCTCTGGGCTCAGGGGGCCGCCACGTCAAACATCCTGGGGCTCCGGTTTTGGGAACCCCACGATTTTTTGACATGGCGCCTCCGTGGGCTCGGGGGACCGCCACGTCAAGAATCCGAGGGTTTTGGCTTTGGGATCAGCCCCGCGACTCATGCCTGAACCCCCCAACCCACTGGCGCGAGACAAGCATCCTCGTCGGGGGCACTGCTCGGTGACGAGACTCGCGGAGGCCACCCGTGGTTGGGTGGGCAAGTCTCAGGAGGGGAACAAAAACACAGACACAATGAATCGTGAACTCCCAGGAAAATTTGGGAACATATGGGAAGTGGGGGGGAAGATGAAAACCCAGAACAAATGGGAAAATATTGGGAATCCTGTTATTTGTGCCTATTTATTTGTGTGTCCCAGGGCCCCTTCAAAGTCCGGGTGCCCCGTCCTCACGTACCGCGGGGCGAGGCGCCCCGCCACGACTGTCAGCGCAGGACGAAGGTGAGCACTGCTCAACTGCATGTCTGTGCTGGTGCCTGCCGTGGTCATCCTCGCGCCCACGGTATGTTCGGAGCGGAAGCGGGCTCACAACCTCAGACTGATGGAGGCCCCCCTCGGGGCGGCATGTTCCTTTTGCGGCATGAGCCGAAGGGAGCCAAGCAGGATGCCGGCATGGGGCCTGTCCAGGGTGATGGAAGAGGATGGGGAGTAAGTGGAGGAGGAGGAGGAGGAGGAGGAAGAGGAGGAGGAGGAACAACAGTTAATCGCAATGGTCAGATTCGTGATATGAAGAATTGGAAAACAGGAGGAGGAGGAGAAGGAGCAGGGAGGAACAGGGAGTAGGAGCAGCAGTGAGAAGGAGCAGGAGGAGGAGGAGGAGGAGGAGGAGGAGGAGGAGGAGGAGAGAGGAGGAGAGAGGATGCGGGAGGAGGAGGGAGGCGGAGGAGCCAGGAGGAGGGGAATTTCTCTTTCTGAGGGGGGACGTCTCGCACGCCGTCTTGAAGCCCCCAAGGGGGGCCGGCGGGTGACCATCCTGCTGTCCCCTGTCTTGGTCTTGATCGGCTTGGCGGCCATCCGGGCCGACCAATCTCAACGCAGTTGGGGTGCCTTGTTCTACCCCCCCACCCCTGGCGCGGGCCGGGGTTGGACTTGGGGGGGCACCGCGAGGAGAGCGAGACGGAGGAGGACTGGAAGACCGTGGAGGGGACGTCGAGGAGGAAGGTTCAAGGGGAGGAAGGAGTTGCAGCGACTGCAGTTCGTTGAATCTCCGATCTGCGATTTAGACATGCCGCATTTCTCCGATCTGCCGTCGGCCGTGGAGCTCGGTGCAGTCTTGAAGCGCTGCAAGCGTTGGACCGCAGCAGGAGTAGATGGTTGGCACTTTCTGCTCTTGCGCAGCCCACTGACGATAGGCTTGAGGATCTTGCGCGTCTCTCATGGCAGATCGAGCGTTTTGTTGCATTACCCTTCTCCAAGTCTGGACTATCCTCATAGGCTTCCCTTGCAGGCCACAAGGGTCCTGCCGTCCAAAGGTATTTGCACGGCATGCTGCCACATCTTTTGAGCTCTCCGCCGTGTTGATGCCAAGGACGGGGAAGATGAAAGCCCCAGAGATCGGCCTTACGAGATCACGGATAATCTTGTGAGCAGGCCCTCTGGAAGCAATCGGTTGTTTCGCAGTGGGCGCAGACCCACTTGTAGACAGCATCCAAAGGCCTCGACCCTCATGACGACGACGACGACGACGACGACGACGACGACAACGGACGACGGACGACGGACGACGGTTGATTCTCGATCTCCGATCTGTGGATCTTCGGTCCTTCGGTTTTCACTGGTAGCCGTGACGCGGCCCTCGGCCCCAGCCTCAGGTCCTGGTCTACCGCTACCCCAGGCGCGCGGTGCACCCGCTGGACGCAGGCGTGCATATTTTTGCGGCGCTTGCAGCGGTGCCCGGGGCAGCCCGAAACATTGGAGAGGGGCCAGCAGCAAACGAAGCAGGAGGATGGGAGGAATATGGATCGTGGAGGAGGAAGGAAGATGGTGGGATGGAGACCTCCTTCTCCTCCTTCGTGTCCTCTCTCTTCTCCCTCCTTTTCCCTCCTCTCCTGCCCCTCATCTATCCTTCCCCCTTCCCTCCACACAGTGGGCAACCATTGGCGTCCCCAAGATCATGCTCATAACAAATCGTACATGTTGTTAGGCCTTTACAAGCGAAACCGCAGCCAAACCAGGCAAACCGCGAGGACATCTCAGTCGAGATCGCGCCCAAGCGAGGCCAAGCCAGGGAAATTGTGAGCATGCCTGAAGCCGCATCAGAGCAAAGCCAAACCAGGCAAATTGTGAAGACATATCGGGCAAGCTTGCGCCGACACCAAGACAAACAATGCAACTTGTGAGCACGCCTCGAGCCACACCGCACCAGACCCAAGCCAAACCAGGCAACATGTGAGGACGTATCTGGCGAAACCGCGCCGGAACCAAGACGCACCAAGCAAATCATAACGACGTCTCAGGCGATGCCGGCCAAGCCGAGGCCCAAAATAGGCAAAATCGAAGGATGTTTCAGGCTGGGTGCCCGGCCAAACGGGCCAAACTAAGCCAAGCCTAGCCAAACTGGGGGCCAAACCAGGGAATTCTGATGATGTCTCGGACAAGACACCCCAAACTAGTCTGCATGCACTGACCATGCTATGCGGTGTAAGCTGTATAGTGAACGCCATGTCATGTAAGCCATATACTGTGAGCTGCGGTGGGGAACGCGATGCGATGGAAGCAATGTGGTGTAAGCTATGTCGTGCAAGCTATGTGACGTGAGCTATGGAGATGAGAACTACGCGATTCGAGCTACTTGAACGAATCTTCGACGCACCCACGCAAGCGGCAACGGGCGGCATTAGGCCAGAACGTGGCGAATCTCCGACGCACCCACCCAAAGCGGCAACGGGCGGGAACGGGCAGCGACGGACGGCAATGGGCCAGAACGTGGCGAGTCCTCGACGCACTCACCTCTGCGGCACTGGCAGGGAACATGGCAAACTTTCGACGCAACCACACAAACGGCAACGGGCTGGAACCTGGCGAACCTTCGAAGTACCGCCGGCATCAGTGGCAACGGACGGCAACGGGCGGCAACGAACGGCAACGGGCCAAAACGTGGCGAGTACTTGACGCACCTTCACGAGAGGCAAGCGGCGGCAACGGGCCAGAACGTGGCACATTTTTACGCGTCCACATGCGGCAACGGGCGGCGACGGGCAGCAACGGGCCAGAACGTGGCGAATTCTTGACAAGACCATCCAATGCTTGACTAACACAAGTAAGACGCCTTGTGAACAACCAGCGAATGGCAATGGGGTGGATGACCCAAGGGGGTGCCCCCGCATCCTGTAGTTCGAATCGTACGGTGGGCGGGTGTTGGCTGCAAGTGCAGTGGAAGTATCGTTTTTGTCCCGGATCTTGCCCGGCACCCCGCACTTTGCGACCTCCCCGCGGTTGTCCCACAAGCGATCGATGTGTGCGGTTGGACCGCAGCACGATGCGTGTGTTGGGGCGAAACAGCATGTACGTGGCCAGGGCACAACAGTACTATGCATGTGTGGGCTTCGATGGTTCTTTGGCCAGCGGTGTTGCGTTAGGGTATTTGTGCCCGATGTTGTCGTTAAGGTTGTGCTGGGGTTGCTTGGGGCGCCCGACTGGGCAGGGGTCTTACAGAGTTTTTTTGTGGGTCTCGCTGAGTTTTTTCGAATCGACGTGACACAGCATGGCCCTAAGAGATTTCGATTTGTCCAGACACGGGTCTGGTGTTTTCTTGTAGCCGCCTGAAGCCGGTCCACGGAAGCAATGTTTGAGTCGCTGGATTTGAGTCCAGATAGAGCTAGTGTGGAGTTTGGCCACGGAGCCCCACGTTGGGAGTGCTTGAGTCACTGCCTCAGCCCAGCGCCAACCGTCGCTCCATGAGGACCAAAACGAACGAAGCGGTCATACGACCCGCGTGCCAGCCCATCGCGGTCAAGTTATTTTGCGCCGCGTTCACATCATTGGCTTCTTGTGCTACGCGCGCACGCCACTACGCCTGCTACCACTTTCTACTTATATAGTTGCGTTCAACAACCGGTACTGACCCCGTTCGCTCCTAGCTTGCCGCCCGAGATCACTCGATTTGTCGTTCTGTGCTTGCGGCGACGTTCCCTGGGTTGCGCGCTCGCGACATGTGGGGTCATTCCCAATTGGATCCCGCCCTGACCGTCGCGCGACAGAGTTCGTTCCTCACCCTGGATGCGCGGTGCATCTGCGACCGTTCTGACAGTGGCCAGCATTTGAAACTGATTTCGGCACCTCCCGACATCCTTCGCGTTCTGCGGGCATTCTGGCCGCCCGCGGCCCTCCCGTTCCTGTCCTCCTGCCTTTTCCTTTTTCCGCGCGGCTTCGTCGCCGCCGCCATGCCCCGCGTCTCGCTGACCGCTTGCTGGGGCCAATTCGCCGCCGATCGAACGCGCTGAGTCTCTGGGCGTTGTTGCATGGAGTCAGCTTGCCATAGCCCCAATCGCCCTTCGTTCCTTTCCTCCTCCTCTTCCTGAGATTGAGGCTTCGACGGTTCCTCCGGATGGCGATGAGTTGATCCCCGCGCGAACCAGCTGACTTCGCGGAGACAGCCCAGTCTTGGATCAGGACGACGGCGGACGAAGTAAGTGACTTCTCGGCGCCCGCTCACACGCGCCCCCAGGAATCACCCTCAGAGAAAACATGACGCGATTGGAAGCCTTCCGTGGCCCCGCGGCGCCTCTCCGCACCCTGGACTTCAGAGTCTCCAAGTGGGCGGGGCCCGACCGTTTCTCGGTCGCCCATGTCCAGGCGCCGGCAGGTATGATGCGATAGGTAGAGAAAGGCAGCGCGATGCACTTGGCGACGGGCGCCCTCAAGGCACTGCGTCGTCGAGCGCGCGCGTCGAGCCGTCCTCGTGCCACGCTGCTAGGTTGCGCCCCCAGATGTGCGGGGGGGACTGCTGACGACGACCTTCGGCATTATCGCGCGTGCCCGAAACCCAAGCGTCGCCTCGTCGGAAACCCTTTTCCTCGGTGGACAAGTGGCATCGTGGGCTGAGCAGTTGGGCGGCGACGATTGGCTTTTAGCGCTTCGCTGTCTGAGGCCGCCGTGGGTGGGGGGGGGTCTCATGACTTGGCGGGGCGCGCCCCGCTGGCGGATTCCTAGCGACCCGCAATGCCCGTCGGACGGGGCCCCCGGTCCATGGAGACTGCATGGGGTCGAGGCAATTGTCTCGCCATCGCCCCGGACTTCTGGAGGCGCTTCGGTCGCTCCGTCTGGTTGCCGAGCTCCTCCCCCGACGCCTGTTCCTCCTGCCCCCCCCCTGGTGGACAGCGAGAACCGCCCGCCCTCTTTGTCCCCGCCGTTTTCTTGCGCCCCCCCCCCCCAGTTCCATTCCCCGGCGCCCTCTGCCCCTGCGTGCTATTCGTACCGTCGGCGCTTCCCGTGGGCCACTTGAGGTTGGATGGCTGGTTCCAGAGGTTCGAGACGCCGCTGAAGGCTGCCGGTTTCGTCGTTATGCATGTGGTGCTCGGCTATAATGCTGGGTCTGCACTGGCCCTCCTGTTGCGGTTGAGTGCGCTGTGGGCGCTGACCATCGCCGCCCCCCTGCGTGCCCCGTCCTGTTATTGCCTTAGATGATTGCCCTCCCCCGCCGCACTGCCGTCGGCTCGCCCCGTCGCCGCCGTTGCCTTCAGTTTGCCGCTTTCCGCGGTCTCCTTGGCATGCTTCTCCTGCTGCCCTCTCCCTCGCGCGTCGTTGCCCCTTGCCCCCCCCCCCCCCCCCCCCCCCCATCTCGTTCCCCGCTGCAAATCGCATGCCCCTCGCGCTCATCTCGAGCGCGGAGGCCGTCGCGGCGCCCGGCGATCTGGCCACGTAGGTCGGCCCATGACTACTCGAAAGATGGGAAAGAGCGCGTTCTACCGCTGCTGGCAGAAAACCGCAGGGGGTCACCGGGGGTTTCTAGCCCGCCCCCCCCCCCTTC